ACACACACACAAAATGCAAATTAATTTTATTACATGATTTATTGAAACATCCACAGTGACATCAGTTCCTGCAAAGGAACTATTCAAGCCAGCATTTCCAAGAGCATTTGTTCAAGGTACGTTCACCAAACCTTTCACAGCCATAATGTGTCTTTACCTAAATCCACAAGCTTCTTTCTTTTATCCTCCTGATTCTCCCTGCAGGGGGAGTGTACAAGTGGATGTGTGGTGCTGAGTTACACCACAACTCTGCAGTGTAAACCTGGAGTAAATTGCACCAGAGCATTTACACTACATGGTTTTGAAAGCAAAACAGGCCCAAACCAACCCCCATGTAACAAACATACTGCCCTCTCTGAAATTATAGCTTTACACTGCCTTATAATTAATTCCATTCCAAGAGCAACTTTTCTGGATGCCAGATTAACTACGGCTTTCTATTAAAAAAAAAAAGTAAAGCAAATTTTATTCGGCTATAAAAGTGGTCCCAAGAAAAGAAATTTAACATATTAACATATTCAAACTGATGTGATAGAGATGCTCAGCCTTCCAAACACCTGAGGTGTATTAAAGCCAGACTGGACAATACAGAAAAAAACTTCAGCCCTCCTATGTCTTTTTAAAAGTGCATAAACAGCTTAGAACATTCATAAATTATTTCACAGCACTGAGTGACTATTAAAATAATTCCTGCTCCTTTCACCAAGATATGTAGGAGAAAATAGCCTGCTATTTCTAGCAAAGACTTTGTCAAGCTACAAGACCTGAGGAGCAAAGCTGGGTGGGGGAACAGACCCTGTTCTGTGATGAGGGTGACTGAACGCTGATGGATTCCACTCAAGCATCTTGTGAGAGTTCCTTTGTCCTCACCTCTCCTTGACGCCTTGTTTTGGGAGAAGGACTGAAGAAGTTCTGCAGGAAGGAGATGTCATTGCTGAAGAGGATGTTCTCTTTCTCCAGGATGTATTGCTTGAGCAGGGGGGACACCTCGTCCCCAAACAGGGCCTGGTTGTCCTGCCAGATCTGCCGCTTCACCTCCACGGCACAGGCCTTGTACAGGTCCTTGTCAGCCATCACCAGCTTCAGCTTCTTCTCAGGGACCTGCAGTGGACACAGCAGTTACACAGGGCAGCCCCTCAGCTGCCCAGCTGACCACAGGAGACACTTAAATCACGGAATCACAGAACATCCTGAGCTGGAAGGGACCCACAAGGACCATCCAGTCCAACTCCTGGCCCTGCACAGACACCCCAACAATCCCACCCTGTCCCTCAGAGCATTGTCCAAACTCTCCTGGAGCTCTGGCAGCCTTGGTGCTGTGCCCACTGCCCTGGGGAGCCTGGTCAGTGCCCAACCACCCTCTGGGGGAAGAACCTTTTCCCAAGATCTAACCTGACCCTGCCCTGGCACAGCTCCAGCCATTCCCTGGGCCTTGTCACTGCTCACAGAGCAGAGATGGAGCTGCCCCTCGGGAGGAGCTGCAGACCCTGATGAGCTCTGACCTCAGTCTCCTCTTCTCCAGCTGAACAAGCCAAGTGCCCTCAGCTTCTCCTCAGACCCTTCCCCTCCAGGCCCTTCACCATCTCCACGTCCCTCCTTTGGACATTCTCCAACAGCTTTAGATCTTTCTTGTATTGTGGTGCCCAAACTGCCCCCAGGACTCGAGGTGAGGCTGCCCCAGAGCAGAGCAGGACAATCCCCTCCCTCAACTGATCATCCCCTCAGGCAGTTTGGGCATTCACACCCAGCAGTACCACAGGCTCAGCTCTTGCCTCCTCCTGAAGACACTTCTTCAACAGCCAAATCACACACCAAGCTTTTCCTTATTTATTTCAAAGAAGAAAAAGATTTCCTTTAAATCTGCAGTGTTGAGAATTGGGGATGGTGTTTCCAAACTCAGTGACTTACTAAAATTCCAGTAGCAGTTTTGAATCCATTACCTTAAGTGCAATATGATGCTTTTAATAAGGACACTCCTAGAGACTTTTGTCTCACAGATCTGAATCTCACTCCTGTCTACTTCTAGCTTCATTCTTCAAGACTTAGCTTCCACTTGTCAAAGATTTCTAAATCAGCTGTGTAAAAATTCACTTATCGGTGAACTTGACTATTTTTAGGAAGCTGCATGGATTGAGGAAAACAGGGAAATAGCCTCATCTGATTATAAAAACGTAAAATGCCTTTTGAATTAGCCCACTAAGTTGGCAGCAGATACAAGAATGAATTAAATCTTCAGTCAGTGCCTAACACTGAACAACACACCTGCAAAGGTGTGCAGAGGGAGCACAGCTGGAGGAGCCACACCAGAGACATCACAGCACAGTGCAGGTCCTACCTTGGGCAAGTGCTTCATGACACACATGACCACGGGCTGGATGGAGGGCATCTTGACCAGGGAAAAGCTCTTCTCCAGGAGATCTTCCAGCTTCTTGTATCTGAAAACACGGGAGAGCACGAGACTAAGCACCATGGAGCAGTAAAGGGACAGAGTGGCTCATCTCAGAGAACTTGATTCCCGAGGTATCAAACTCTCCCCTGCAGAAGTCACCACAGTATTTTCCCACAGAATTCCCAGGTAACCAAGACTGCCGACCAACCTCTCCTCGACCTTCCCCTCCAAGGCGATGGCAGAGACCCTCTCCAGCAGCTTCTCCCGCAGCTCATCGAACACCGACTGGTGGAACTCGAGGCGGGGGGTGCCGTGCAGGTCCAGGAAGGGCAGCGCGTACTGCAGCGAGGGCAGCAGCACCCCGTTCTCTGTCTGAGAGAGCAACCGAGCGGGGCTGAGAACGGTGCTGGACAACAAAGCAAAAGAGCGAAAAGCCCGGACGGCGCTGGGGGTTCCCCCCTCCCTCCACACACAGCCCGGCCCCTCACGGCACCTGGAACTGCTCGATGGCCTTGAGCGGCTCCGTGCAGTTCGTGAGGGTCTCCTTGAGGTCCTCGCCGTTGGCCACCCCCAGCTCCTGCAGCCCCGCGTACATCTCGGCCTGGCCGGGCCCGCGGGGCCGCTCTCGCTCCCGATCCTAATTCCGATCCCGATCCCGGTCCCAGATCCCGGCCCCGGGGCCGCCTCAGTTCCGCGCGGTCCGTCCCCCGCCCGTCCCCCCCCGCCGCCCGCGGGCCCCGCGCCGCCGCGCGAAGGTTCCGCCGCGCGAAGGTTCCGCCGCCCCTCCCGCGGGGGCTCCCCGCGACCCCCGCGGGCTCCGACCGGGGCCACCGCGCCCCGGGCACCGCCGGGCAGGGCGGGCAGGGCTCAGGGAGCGTTCGAACAGCGCTCTCAGGCACACAGAAACACAGAATCACAGCCTGGGTCATGTTGAAGGGACCACAGTGTGTCATCTGGTGGCATCTCCCTGCTCCAGCAGGGCCATCCCAGAGTTAGATGGGATGACCATCCCATGGCACAGGATTGTGTCCAGAGGGCTCTGGAATAACCCCAGTGAGGAGACTCCACACCCCCTCTGGTCTCTGTTCAGTGCTGGATCACTGCCCAGCAAAGAAGTTCTTCCTCATGTTCAGGTGGAGCTTTCTGGGCATCAGTTTGTGCTGTTGCCTCTCGTCCCATTGCTGGGCCCCCCCGAGCAGAGCCTCGTCCATCTTTGCCCCCTCCCTGCAGGCACTGACAGGCATGGATGAGGTTCCCTCTCAGTCTTCTCTTCCCGAGGCTGAACAGCCCCAGCTCCCTCAGCCTTTCCTGCTCCCAGAGATGCTCCATCCTTTCAGTGTCTCCTCAGCCTCCACTGGACCCGCTCCAGGAGTTCTCATATGATGGGATTGTTGGGGTATCCTGTGCAGGGCCAGGAGTTGGACTCGATGGTCCTTCCAACTCAGGAGATTCCATGATTCCATGGTTCTGTGCTCTGGCCAACATCATTAAGAGGGCAGCAAGGCTGGGATTCCTGGGGGTGTCTGAGGCTTCCCTCTTGTCTGATCCTGGGCAGACAGTGATGGAAAGAGGAAACACCACTAAAAATAGAGAAGTGGCCTTCCCCCATTCATGGTTTAGCCTTCAAGGCCTGTACTTTCAGGATAGCTGCTAAAGAGTGGGGGGGAGGGGGGAAATCTCCCTATTTGTCCTTTGTGCAATCTGCTGCTGCATCAGCCTAAACCAACACAGAAACCCCTCTGGGGTCTGCCCAGCAGCCAGTATAACTGTCCAGGAACAAACCACAGTGATTTAGAGCCCCTCAGACCATTTGAAGGTTGGGCTGCTGCTCACAGACCCCTGTGATCCCTGATATCCAGGTGAGAGAAGGGATGCACTCCACTGTTCCCAGGCAGGAGCTGCTGCAGTGCCCTGAGGTCCCTCATGTCCCTCTCCATGTCCCCACACGGCTGGAGGGGCTGCTCTCCTGGTGGGGGATTCCTGCAGGAGCAAAGCAGGACTGGTCTGACCACGGCAGGACCTGGAATCTCCTCAGTAGCTGCTGGATATCCTGAGGTGCTGATGATATATCGTGATATTGGTATAAATGCCATGACCACGTGGACACGAGCGCTCAGGCACAGCGCAAACAGCTGCAGTTTTCTGCAGAAATTCTGGTTTCGAGGATGTTTCTTTGTGGCATCAGGCAGGAGAAAGCAGGCATGTGTTTCATAAAGTCTGGGTGTTGGTTATTTTCCACAGGGAGCTGTCAGGGAGGGGGGGTTCAGGCACCCCAGAAGGCTCACACTGACCTTCTGGGGGCAAAAGAGCTGAGCAGCCCCCGTTGTCTCCTACACACAGCAAGGACCAAACCAGCCAGAGTTTCCTGGGGGTGGAAACCCAGAAGTGCAGATGTTTTTATGCCACCTGAAAGCGAACAAGGGCGCAGGCACAGTCTGAAGGGACTGGGCAGTGCGTCCTCTGCCCCAGCCCCATGCACACGTGCCTGAGGGGAAGCTCCCCAGCTCCGCCCTGGAGCACTCAGATATAAATTAAACCCAGTGACAAGGAGTTTCCCCGCTTCTAATTTGGGCAGCCAGCACTGCCAGGCGTGGAATACCAAACAGATGAGTTTTGCCTGCTTTCTGCTTGTTACCCAGCCGAGTTAACCCCACATTTGTGTTTACCTCAGCCCCGCCGCCTGGGGCGGTTTCGAGGTTCCAGCGGTGCCTTTGCAAAGCTGGGGCGGGCACGGAGACCTCCTGTTATTTATGGAGAGGAGGGATGGAAGGGAGAGCTGCCTGACACATCGCAGCCTGGCCCACGCGTCCCTGTGGTCCCTGTGGCTTTGGGGCTGGGCTGAAGTCAGAGCCTGGCCCCGGCCCCGCCTTTCTCCTCTCTTTAAAGGTTGCTAAAGCAGCCGGTGTCAGTTTGCTGCTCCACTGCTTCCCCTTTGGGCTCCTTGAGGAAGGAGAAGGCGCTTCATGTCTTGGCGTGAGCTCCTTCCCCCCTGGCTGGTGATCGTGGCGGGACTGACGGGCATCGTGCTGCTCTGTGTCTCCACCAAAGATGTGCCCGTGGCCCCTCTCAGGACCAAGGTAAGGGCAGTTAAACTGGGCTGTTGTGTTGCTTTGGACATTCATTTTATTACTGAGCCGTTTACAAACTGAGGGGTGGACTAGAACCAGACTGCCAGGGCAGGTTGGCATCCTTCAACTTGCTGTAGCTTTTTGAACCAAAACCAAACCAACTCCTTTGGTTGGTCTGGGAATACAGGCAGGATATGGTCCATGGATATCCAGAGATGCTCACGGCAGGCTGAGGGGAGGCAGCTCATGTCTGGAGCTCTCCCAGAGCAGCAAGGGACCAGTGGTGTCAGTGGAGGGAAAGAGGTCAGTCCCTCTTGAAAGTCAGTAGGAATTTGGCTCTGAGCTGCTGCTTCTGTCTCTAAAAACAAATTGTCTTGCATGCCTTTGGTCCTATCTTGATTTTAACTGAAGAGCCAACCTGCTCTACACAGCAGGGCCAGGTCTGAGGGGGGGTTAATGCCCATCCACTCTGCCTCTTGAACACCCACTGCTGAGGTCCAGTGGCACACTATGGTTTAACCCAACAGAAGTAGGTTATCCTGCATGTTTAGAGATAGTACCCCTCCTCCATCCTCCTCTCAGAAACAAAATTAGACTAAAAACCCCCTCATTGCTCCGCTTTCTGTCCTTCCCTGGTGCTGAGCTGGGCAGGGGTGTGGTGATCCCTCCCTTCCTCCCTGGCGCTCCCACAGCACCCTCTCATTATGTGAAGGAGGAAAAAATAGTCCAGGTTTCTCCACCAATACCATTTGTTCCTTCCTCCTGTGCGGCAGCAGCCGACACATCCCTGCCAGGAATCGGAGCTGTCACTGGTGTGGGAGGTGCCAGCAGGCTCGGGCAGGGAGCTCCAGCCTCCTCCCGCATTTCTGCTCCAGCTCAGCCCCACCAGCCCCTGCCCTGGGTGTCTGGTGCAGCTGGAGCTCCCAGGAGAGCAGCAGGCAGCAGCTCTGCCTCCCTCTGAAACCCTTCTGGTGCTGTTAACATCAACCTCTGAGGAGGTTTCTCCTCCCACTCAGTCACAGCTCCAACTATTTGTGTGCAAGATGCAGCTCAGACCAGCACCACCACATATCTCATGAGTTTCCTTCCAGGCTGTGTGGGAGATGCCCCAGATTGGGGTCATGTAATAGGGGGAGAGCAGGAGACCCTGGACCAGCACTGGGGCTGTTTGGACTGTGGGGACATCCAGGGCAGCTGTGCAGGGACTCCAGTGGCCTCCACTTCCTCACCTTCGTGTCCTAGGAACAGCTCAGTGAGGCTCAATCAGCAGCAAACAGCAGCCACTGGGGTGCAAAGAGGCAGAGATGCCTCAGCCCCACAGCTGGGCAGCAGCAGAGCTGTCGGGGGACAAGGGGTTGAGAAAGCTCGTGGTCACTGCTCTGCTTGTTCTGCCAAGACATTGTCTCTGTCTCTGTGGGGCTGCCACCCCTCACAGTGCCTGTGCTGGTTGGTCCCAGAGTGCTGCAGCTCCCACAGCTCTGCACACACTGCGGCAAACCCAGCCCATGTCACACCATCACTGCACTGGGGCGTAAAAGAGACACGGGAGCCTCGAGTTCCTCAGGAGAAACAAGCCACAGCCCTCCAATTCCTGCACAAAAGCCTTAGCAAACCAATCAGCAGCAGTTTGAGCACCGGATTCAGTGGAGAACCTGTATGGTGCCATCTCCCACTGCTTTAGGACCTGTTTTTCCTGAGCTCCAGGTGGCTGAGCTCTCGGTGGAAGCCCTCTGCCTGGTTTCAGGAACAGCTCCAGAGGAGGCCTGATGTGTTTCTGGGCGTTTCTCTACTCCTGCTGTTCCTCATGTATATTCAGGAATGCAGATGGTTCCCTGCAAATCCTCATCATCTCCTGGCTTCACACTCTCCTTGAATGTAAAAAGTGAACTCAAATTCTGCAGTACAGGCCCAGGGGTCACCCTGAGTACCCACATAAAGCTGAGTAACCCTACAATAACAAAGCAGCATGCATTCAGTGGTGTTTACCTGGAATGTTTTGGGGGTTTTCCAGTATGGCATCGTTCTGGATGCTGGCCCGTCCCGCACCATCCTCTTCATCTACCAGTGGACAGCCACCAAGGCAAACAAGACCGGGGTGATCCGGGGATGCAGTTCCTGCCCTGTGCAAGGTGAGGTGCCCAGTTCCTGCTCCTATGGTCTGTGGGACTGGCATGGGATGGATGGATGGGAACCCAAAGACCTGTGTTGGACCGGGGCCACAAATTCCTTGGCTCCTTCATCACCCAGCTGTGCACGGAAATAGTGAAGCACAGGTTTATTTTCAGCCTGGCTCTTCTCCACTGGGCAGGTTTAGCCACACACAGCTGGGCATCAGGCACTTGGCAGGAGCAGGTGACAGGATTTTGGGGCTGCTGCAGGCAGGGAAGCACACAGAGAGGTTGGGGCTCATCCCAATGTCCACATGGATCAGTGGCAGAGCCAAGGCAAGGCAGTGAACAGCAATGGACACAAATCTGGCTGCAGGGTGACTCCTGGGACCTTCTGCCCCCTCCTGACTGTGCCCTGGGCAGTAAGTGGTGTAGCCCCAGGACAAGAGAGGTGCAAAGGCTCCAACCCCCTATGCGGGGTTTGACAGCACAAGCAGGAGTTCAGCCTGCCTTTAGGTGTCACATTTCAGAGAATATTGGGGTTTTCCTCACCAGTTTGAATCAGTTTGACCCTGCCAATGCCAGCTGAAAGGGTTCCATGCATTAATGCTTGTGGTTTTCCTTCCCTATCTCTCAATCTTGCTTTGATGTCAAAGCCCGATTATAGCGGGATGCTGGGAAGGACTGAACCCTCAGTGTGCTGTGGGAGGGCAGCAAGCAGCACAAACCACCCACAGAGGGTGCAGTAAGGGCTCCCTGAAACCCTGTGTGTATCCCTTGACTGCTGCCATGTTCATGGCTGGGCTAAAAGCAGCAGCTGTAGCTCTGGGAGGCAGTTTATCCTCAGCAGCAGCAACCAGAGGCCCAGGCAGGGCTCTTGCCCGGGTGTGAGGAGTCCTGTGTGCATGGCAGCACAGTCACAGCCTTGCATGAGCTGTAGGAAAGCTGCAGCTCGGCCCTACACGGGACCCAAGGGAGCAAAGCACATGGTGAGGAGTCACAGCCAGGAGGATGAGAATGGGGAAGTGAGGATCTTCCTGAATAGCAGTTCAAAAAAACAGTATTTAAGGCCCCATTGACTTGCTGGAAAAATGAGTCAAGGCTGGCACACAGCACCTCTGCACAGCACCAGCTTCCTCTGGAGCAGGGGTGCCTTGCAGGCAGGGGCTCAGGAGCCACCTCTGCCATCACAAGGGGAAGTGGCTGGAGGGGAAAGGTGACACATCAGCCTCAGCTCTGTCTCTGTGACAGTGTGTCCTTTCGCTTATTTTTATAGCAGCTAAAGCCACATTTCTTCCTCTGTGGGCTGAGAAAGCCTCAGCTGTTGCAGCAGTCATGTGGATATCTCAGCAGCAGAGCTGAGGTTCTGTCAGTGCAGTTTGGGATTTATATGCACATGTTTTGCTCCCAGTACCATATTTTAGCAGGGTGGATACCTGGAGGAGCTCCTTCATTCCACCTGTGACAGGTCCTGCCTTTAACCATGCCCTAGGACAGCAATCAGTCTCTGGGGTAACAGTTCTCACAGTTCTCCCATAACTTTCCCTAAAATTTCATTCTGTCCTCTGGTTCTCAGGTCTGGGAGTCTCCAGCTACTCAGATTCTCCTCAGAAAGTAGGGAAGAGCTTGGAGCCATGTTTGAACTGGGCCCAGAAGGAGATCCCAGCAGAGCAGCACAGCCAAACCCCGCTGTACGTGGGAGCCACCACCAGCACGAGGCAGCTGAAGTGAGTGAATGTTGCAAACCCACACCCAGAGAGCAGCACACGGATCATTCTGTGCATGCCCCTCACCCTGTCTGCTCTGCAGTGTGTCCCACCCTGATCTGCTGGTCAGCTAAACCTCCTTCAGGCCCAGATGTCCTCGAGAGGAATATCATGGCTGTGGTTCCATCCTGTCCCCCCAGCAGCCATGAGATCACAGTGCTGCCACTGCTGCCAGTCTGTGCTGTATTTCCTTCCCAATTACAGTTTCACAATTACTGCTTGGAAAAACATCTGTCAGTCTGGAAGCTCAAGTGTTTTCAGCTTATGTGACAACACACATGGACTTGCAGGGGTGCTCCTTGTCAAAAAATTGGGAATGGCAGCAGGAAGATCCATCTTCTCATACACACGCTTTTGTGGAAACTTCCGAGTCCCCTCATTACCAGGACTTTTTCTCCTTTTAGACACTGGGGAAAAGTAAGGTCTGGAGGGGACCAGGTCAGTGGGGTGAGGCCAGAGGATTTCCTTGGTGACAGAGGGTACTGAAGTCCTAAATTATTGAACGGGGCCACGACTGCTCCAATCATCCCTGTGCTGCTCTTGCCCTCAGTGCCATGCAAGGGGAGGGGGAAGCAGCACAGGAGTGGGATTGTTGTTGTGTCTCTGTGCCACTGCCCAAAGTGGGGTGCACAGCAGGAGCCCTGCAGGGTCCTGTAACAACAAATATGCCCTTTTTTTGTCTTCTTTGTAGCCTCACCCATCCCACCCGCTCTGATGATCTCCTTGCACCCCTGATTGTGGCCCTGAAGTCATCCCCCTTCAGCTTTCGGGGGGCACAGGTCCTGTCCAGCTCAGATGAGGAAGCATTCAACTGGGTTGCTGTGAACTATGTCCTGGAGAACTTCTTCAAGGTAAAGGACGATTCTTCCTGGGGCTGAGCAAATCCTACTAACAGACAGCTACAGAGATGTGGAGGGATTGGTAAAACCCTGTAGTTTAAGCAGTGGTTAAGCACAAATTCCACTGCCTTTCACAGGAGGCAGGTTGGATCAAATGCCAGCCTCATGTGAGTTGAGTGGGGAGGCCCTGGCCCAGGTTGCCCAGAGAAGCTGTGGCTGCCCCATCCCTGGAAGTGTCCAAGGCCAAGTTGGATGGGGCTTGGAGCAACCTGGGCTGGTGGATGGTGTCCCTGCTCATTGCAGGGGTTGGAAGGAGATGAGCTCTAAGATCCCTTCTAACCCAAACCATTCTGTGATTCTGTGGTTATAACTAGTTTGAAGGACCAAACCTCTCCTATAGCCTTTCATGAACACACCCATGCAGTTGCCCTGACACACATGAGGCTTTTCTGGACAACATTCAGGATGCTCACGTCAGTGACTGCAGGAGATGAAACCACAGGGTTCTTCTGACAGGAGGATCACTTTAGCATCAAGGCAGCACTTGAAGCCCATATCTGCCCACTTGGAAACATCCCTGCCATTCCCTCTCTCCCCTGCTCCTGCCTGCTGAGACCACTGCCTTGAGCAGCCCCCCCAGGCTGGTGCCCCCCATGGGCAAACATGTCTCTGTGCAGGTGGCAGTGCCTGTACAATGAGTCCTCTGTTCCTTCCAAAGCCATCCATGTGTCCTGTGGGCAGAAAAAGAGTTGGGCTGTGCTGCACCACCCAGCTGCTTTGTCCCTCTGTGCACTGTTTGCACCTGACTGTGACCCAGATGAAGAATTCTCAAGGATTGACCTCTCTGGTTCTTTTTGGTCAGTACGACTGGCGAGGGCAGCTGGTGCCCTCTGGGAAGGGGATGGCAGGAGTCCTGTCCGTGGGAGGAACCTCAACACGGCTCACTTCCCAGCTGGAAGAGGAGAACCAGGTCCCACAGGAGGGAGTGAGGCTGCAGCTGTATGGGCAGATGCACAGAGTGTACACTCATCAGTGCCCCTGCCACGGCACCGACCAGCTCCACAGGAGGCTGCTCTCCCTGCTCATCCAGGTGAGTTCTGCCACAGGACATGAGCAAAGTCCCCAGAGACCACATCACTAAATCACAGCTGCACAAGGTGTAGCTTCTAATGGGCAAAATGCCCTTAGTGGAGGCCATTTGCACATGTCTAAAGAGAGCCCAGTGCATTTGTAAAATGTACCCTCTATGCCCAAATCAATGCCCTCCAAGCAGACACACAGGCACCCATTCCAGAGTTTCCCACTTGCAGGCTCTACTTGGCCTCCTACTTAATACACACAAGCACAAAATTGCTCTCCAGAGATGCCAACATCCTTTTCAGGGTGACAAGAGGTCAAGGCTTCCCTTGCCTTCTATGAACTGCTCCTCCATCCTGGAGTGGGAACCAACCAACCCAGGAACCAACTGGGACCTTTCATTTGGGGTAATCCCTTTGCTGGCTTTAACCCTGAAGCATCTTTAACAGGGCAATATTTCATTTTGAAAACATGCAGGTGTTTTGGTTCTTCCAAACTTTATTTCATTTGGGGAATGGTGGGAGGGGGATAGGATCTGATACAAACTCAGGAACCACTTTAGTCTTCATAAGAACCTAATTTTTCAGAAATTAACTACTTCCTGCCATTGCCTCTCTTCAAACCCTACCTGCCCTTTTTTGAGACCTGAATGTCCCTCATGGAGACCAACTTCACCACGGTTACATCGGGGAATTTCTAGAGATAAGAAACACTGGTTCTTGAGGGGTTGAGCCCTTGGAAGGCAGATCTGAACAGCCTCTTTCTTGCCACTAGAAAGAGTACAGGATGCATTTCTGGTCTAGGGGAGGGCAGGCAGGGCTGGGACTCCTCAGCCCCCCCCAGCAGGTCCAGCCCCTGTGGCTGCCCCGGCCCCAGCAGGAGCTGTGAGAGGGCTGCAGCAGCCTGGGCCTTGTGGTTCACTCAATGACATAAGATTTGGCCACCCTTTCACAGCCTCCTGCTCCTCTTCAACACTGTGGTGGCCAGAGGAAATCTGTCCTGCGCTGTGGTAACATTCTGGCTGCCTGTGTGAAGCCCTGGGATGCCATGTCATCTCTTGCTGTCCTTGTTTTATTCTGCCTCCAGGAGCAGAGAAGTGCTAAAACTGTGTCTAATCCCTGCTGGCCCCTCTCCTACTCGCGGGAAGTGCAGTGGCAGTCAGTGCATGCTGGGCCTTGTGCTGTCAGTGGTGACGCATGGGACACCCCTGGCCCCAAGGAGGTCTTCAACATCACGGGCTCCAGCAGCCCCACTGCCTGCATGAGACTTGTGCAAAGGCTGCTCAACTCCTCCTCTTCCTGCAGCTTCTCCAAGCATTCCCTCGGCAGTGTTCTCCAGCCCCTCCGGACCAGGTTTCTGGTGAGTTCTCATTTACACTGGGGTAGACAGCTGGCACAGAGAATCCATGCAATGGGACCTGTTTGACCATTAATAAATACAGTGGGAACAGCCACACTGGGGCACTCCTGCCCTCTCCCCCTCATTGACACACAGCTGTTCTACATGGACCCCTGGCTTCCCACCAGTGACTGTGGTGGAGCTCCTGAGACCAACTTTGGGGCTCCACAGAGCCAGCAGGGATAGGAGAGCCAGGAGCTGTGTGCTAAGCAGGTCTTCCCACACCAAGTCCGTGGTAAAGCTGAAGATCCTCTGCCACTCCCTCAGCAAACATCAGGGCACGCTGCACCACCAGCATGTTTCTATCTGAGAACCTGGATCTAGTGTCCAAAGGCATTGGATTGTTGAGCCAAGAGCAGCTCAAGATCCTGGGACAAACTAAGTGCTTTTCAGAGAAGGTAATTCCGGGAATTTCCCCAGCTCCCTGTTCCTGAGTCTCCCATGGACATGGTGCTGAGGAGCACAGGGATCTGGTGAGGCTACACCTGGAATACTGGGTTCAGTTTTGGGCCTCTCACTACAAGACAGACAACAGATATTGAGGGGCTGGAGCGTGTGCAGGGAAGGGAATGGAGCTGGGGAAGGGTCTGGAGCACCAGGAGCAGCTGAGGGAGCTGGGGGAGGAGGTCAGGCTCAGGGAACAAGGGACAGGATGAGAGGAAACAGCCTCAGGCTGTGCCAGGGAAAGATTTAGGTTGGATATTAGGAAACATTTCTTCACCAAAAGGGTGGTCAGGCACTGAAACAGGCTGCCCAGGGCAGTGCTGGAGTCTCCATCCCTGGAGGGATTTAAAAGACATGTAGATGTGGCACTTGGGGACATGGGTTACTGGTGGCCTTGGCAGCGCTGGGGGAATGGTTGGACTTGATTTCACACATCTTCTCCAATCTAAATGATTTTATGATTCTGTGACTAGTCTACTTATCCATACAGGGCCAGGAAGGCTTCTGCATGTGGAACAGACCTGTTTCCATCCCAGACAGTAACAGATCTTATCTTTCTTGCACACATCCGAGGCCCTGACACCACCACAACAGCACACACAGGGCACCCTGGCACTGCACTGCCCCTCCATTTCCTGTGGGCACAGAGTGCAGTGCAGGGACACAGAGCACAGTCCCACCTGATGGTTATTTCTGCTGCTGTTGTAGGTGATTTCTGAGGCCATGGACTTCATGAGAGAAACTGTTCCCTCTCCTGACTTGGGCCAGGCTGTCAAGAGGCTGTGTGGGATGTCCCTCGAAGAGGTAACTGTGGAATAACCTTGTGTGCAGGGAGAGTGGGAAGCAAGAAACAGCCTGTTGTAAAAGCCAACAGGGTTCAGACTTACAGAGCTGTAACTTATAGACTCCCTCAGGAAAAAACTTGGATTTGCCTGATTTTTGGGTTTGGGGTTTGGGTTTTCTGGGGGGGGTTTAGTTTTTTGGGTTTTGGATTTTTCGTTGTTTTTTGGTTTTTTTTTTACTTTGAGGAAACAGGCTCCACTTATTTTCCTTCCTCCCAAATTCCAGCTGCTGCTGGTAACACCTGGACTTAATTAAATGAAAAGCCACAAACACCTTTTACTGTATTTTAAGGAGTAAACAGAAAGGCTGTCGACTCTCTCCTGTACATCACTTGGTCTTCCTGTTATCCTCCTCTCCTTAAGTCTCCACTCACACTCCAGGGATGTTCCCATTTCACCTGGGCTCAAGGAGAACAAGGGGGAATTTGCCAGTTCTTTCCCTCAGCTGGTGGTTTTGAGGTCACCCCCATTTGCACTGACACTGACTGAGCACCCACAGTAACATCCGAATGAGATAATTCCTACAGGGTTTGCTAATAAGGCAGCAAAGCCCATAAGCAGTTCCCAAAATCATTCTCTTGTGGATGGAGGAAAGGCTGTTCCTGCTGAGAGAAAGGCTGCAGCATTAGCTCAGTCTAATTAAAGAGCAGGGAATCACACCAAGCAACCCACCAGCAAGGCCAGTGGGAGACCTGGCTGCCAGTCCTGCTGCTCTTGGATCTGCCTGGCTTAATATGATGGGAACAAAGGCACTGAGAGATGACACTGCTTCCCAGATCACAGCCTAGTGGGTGCTGGAAATGGTTTTTTCAGTCTGCACAGGACACAAACCCCTCCTCCAGTCCCAGAGCAGGAAAGGAGAGGTTATAGCTGGCCTGAAATTCACCTATTGAATACTTCTTTAATTTTTTTCCCCATCCTTTTTTTTTTTTTGGAAATGGCACCAGCTGGTTAGGGAGTCCCAAGCAAGCCAGGATACACTTGCTGAGTACTGTGCTGTGTCTGCCTTCATCTTCCATCTCAGTACAAAGGGGTACACGCTCGACGTTGACCGGCCTGCTTGGACTGCGTTCCAGAAGGTCAGTCACCAGTTACCAGGGAGGGCTGGTTCCAGTACAACCAGCCTGGCCTCACACTCACAAGCCCTGACCAGCTGGGCTTCTCCAGCAGGATGGTTTTGCAAAGTGGATTCACGGTTGTGATAAAGAGGAAAACCGGTGTCAGAGAGCTAGAGGTGACACTTGTCCCCACTGAAAAACAGACCTTACCTGGAGCAACGCTGCCTTTAGGAGTCTGGGACAGGGACAGGGAAGGAAGTGCAGCTTGATCTCCACTTAATGCTGAAGGCAAACTGCTGATAAAATTTCTTGAGCCAAAAGATGCTGCCCTACCTCTTTGTAACCACCTTTTTACTAGTGAGGGTTTATAAATGCCTTATAATCACAGAATCCCAGACTGGTTTGGGTTGGAAGGAACCTTAAAGCTCATCTAGTTCCACCCCCTGCCATGGGCAGGGACACCTTGCACTATCCCAGGTTGCTCCAAGCCCCATCCAACCTGGCCTTGGACACTTCCAGGGATGGGGCAGCCACAGCTTCTCTGGACAACCTGTGCCAGGGCCTCACCACCCTCACAGGGAACAATTTCTTCCTAATATCTAATAATCTAACCTAATATCTAATAAGGTCTGAAATTGTTTCAGGATTTGGAGCCCCTATGGAGAGGGGGATTTGATTCAGGTCCTGCCCCTACGCAAAGGAAAAGAAATTCTTTTCCCAGACCTCTTCCCAACTCCCCCCAAAGCCATGGAGGGCTGCAGTTCAGTCAGCCACGTGGTGACCATCAGAGAAAGGGAAGGTAAAGAGGCAGGACCAGGGAGCCCAGCCTGGAAAGCCAGATACAAGCAACTTACGACAAAGGTCTGAGAGAGAACTGCTCACAATGCAGACCTGAGATCCACCTGGGAAAACCAGTCAGGGAGCAGGAACAGCACACACCTACAGCACAGCTCAGGAAAGAGGTGGCTGCCCAGGCCAGAGCTTAAATGAAGCTCCTGTGCCCATGGGCAGAGGTGTGGGTGGAAGTGCCAGGTGAGGCTGGTTGGGGCCAGTAAGGCCCATTGGTGCACTGAGAGTGGGAGAGCTCTTCACTCCAAGCCCAGTCCTTGGACCAGTCTCAGATAAGGCATACGAGGCCTTTGGCCCGTGCACAAAAACACAGCTGGGGTCAAGACTGTCTCCTTCTCTTCTGACATCTCCTCCTTTTTATTTCAATAGATGGGTGACAGATCATCTGGTTGGACTCTTGGGTACCTGCTGAGCCTGACCAACACCATCCCCCAGGACAGCCCAAGCATCCTCAAGGGGATTGAACCAGGGGTGTGGTCGCTGCTCCTGATCCTCTTCGTGGTGCTGCTCACTGGCTCGTTCATGCGCATCTCGTACCGGGTGATGGCCAAGGAGAACAGCCTCAGCAACAGGAACAGCAGCGTTTTTGATGACAACTGACACTTCTGTGGGTCTCAAGACTCTTGCCAGAGCACAGTCAACAGGGTCCAGACAGAAACCACAGAGGTGTAAGTCACTGGAGGATGGAAGTGATTTCCCTGCAGGACTCCCAGAGCCTCGATGCCTTATTTCAACTCGCTGGCACTTGCACTACTGTACTTTGAGACAATGGATCCTGCTCCACAGGAAACCTGGGATTCCCAGTGGATGGCAAGCTATTCATCCTCCAAACAAGAACAGCCTGCACAGCTCTTCCTTGGGCTACAGCTGGGATTGCTCATGTCAAGCAGGAGGTGATGCTTCTGAGCAGGAAGGCCCTGAGCTGTTGTGGAGTTAGTATTGAATAGTCCCGTCAAATCAGGAGAGCTGGTGCCTGACAAAGAGTGCTCTGTCTTCTCCTCAAGAGATGATACCTGTAGTATTGCCACTAGTGAAGACTGGAAGAGCACTAAAATATAGTCAGAATGTAACAGCCAACTTGCTTCCATGTTCTAGGGAAAATGCAGGTATTTCCTGCCTGCCACTGCTGACCTGCCTGTGCTTCCATTTCAGTGACAGTATCCAGTGAATGCTCACTCAAAACCAATGCTCTTTAATCTTGGTCTCTACAGAGCATCAAAGGAGAAACAAAGGGCACAGACACGCAGCTGAGTTTTTGTCTCTCAGCTGAGTCACGGCAACTCAGGGTTAAAATTGCCAATTTAAACTCTTTAACCAGGACTTCAATGAACACATTTAATTTCACCTCTGCTAAAACTGGGCTCACACTGGGCTGAGGTTCACCTGTTTGTTTATTTGCACTGACCTGCTTGTCTTGCTGACTGTGCAAGTGCCTCATCTGACATTGTCCTTTAGACCAGAGCAGACCCAGGAACAGAAGCTTTCCTAATTGTCAGAACACTGACTTTGTATTAGACCATGACCAGAGTTACTGCATAATCCAATAGTCAGGATTCCTCAGGGACTTGGCAGTCATTCCGGCTCCTCTGGCCTGCTCTGCTTGTCTAAAAGATGAGGTGCTGTACAAACTCTCTGTGTTACTGTGAAGAAAAGGGATTGATTCAGTCAAACACTGTCCTTTGACTGAGGCATTTAGAGTTCACTTCTCAATTGCTTCAGAGACTTAAAACACGCAGGCTGATAAAAGCCTCAGGGACAAGTGTCTCCAATGCATTTCAGGCCACTTTAAACAGAAATGTAAATGCTCACACATGCAGTGATGTGCCCTTGCAGGATTTTTAAAGCTACCATGGCACCTAAATCCTTTCAAATCTGATTATTTGCCACTTCTGCTCCCAGCTGATACACAGGACACACACACACATAAATATTGGGGTATCCAATTAACGAAGGTTTGGAACCCGTCAGTCAAGTTTGGAGGGGTGTGGAAACAGACTTAAACAAGCTTCATATTCATTTCTTTGAGTTGCACGTTAGATATTTTTAATTATATCATGTTATTAAAGATGTTTTAATAGACTGTCTGTGTTATTCTTGGCAAGGGATCAAAGCAGGGGGGTTATTGTGAACACAGAGTGTTCCAGTGAGCGGGATGGGGGGTGCTGATTTGGCCTGTTTACTCCAGAGCTCTTTTGCTGTGTACTTTGGGGGTACAATGGGAACACCTGAAGGCACAGTGAAAGAAAATCACTTCAGATAACCTGGCTGCTGGTATTTAGTTGGTGGGAGATGTGCCTACACCTTTTGATGTGTTCTTTGCTCAAACCTTCTGAAGAATGTAGGAAGGATCTAGGCAAGCCTGGGTAGAGAAAAAAAGAGGTTATCATAGAGTCAGTGATAGTGGGGAAATTCCTGAGACTTCATTCATCCCACACCTGGAAATGCAATCACTAAACAGAGCCCTGGCTCTGTGACCTGTCAGCACAGAGGTGAGCTCTGGGATTCCTGGCTGACATTTGGAACCTGCCCAAGAAAAATCCTACCACTGTCAGACATGGAAACAAGCCAGTGAGATGCCAGGAGCCCCAGGTGCTCTGGCCTGTCAGTCATTGCACCTTCTTCATCTTGAATAGATCACAGGGTCCAAGAGAAACACAACAATGGCTGGAACTTCCCTGAGCTCTTGTTTAGAAGCTTTGGGACTTCCTTGCAGCTAATAAGTGAGCAATCAGGCAAGGAGATCAGCATGGCCTCCTGACCCTTCACTTTTGCCCTGCACGTGCCACTGAGCTGTGCCTGTGAAACCACTGGCACTGCGATGAGAAAACAACCCACAACCTTTTCCTGCCAGATAAAAACATTTATAGATGTATTTTCTAGGTGATAAGATAGATTAGGATTTTAAAACTGCAGTGTGGTTTTAGTCATTAAAAAAAAGGCAAAAAATAACAAAATGGGGAATCTATGAGAAGAATGGAAAATATTCAAAGTAACATATTCCTTTCTCCCAGCTCTCTGTAGAGCAGCTCCTTCATGTCAGCACTACTTAAGTTTGCAAAATTAATCCCTAGATTACTTGGATAGCAGAAATCTACTTAAAAGGAGATTCTAGATGAACCAACTCACTTTGAAACAAAGATGCTTGCAGGCCTTTGGTTACAATTCAATTGTGGAAATGATAAATAATGAGGATTTTCTATCTGCCCATAAGTTCTTTATGTTTATACACAGGTCCCTTGCTTCTCACTCAGGCTGAACCCTGGGAGAGATCTTCTGGCAGATAATTTCTGCTCATGTGCAACTGCAGTTCTGCTGCTCTCAGCAACTATTAGTAAGAAGGAAATCAAAGGTATTAGATACAAAAATTGACACCGGAAAGCACTTTCTCTATTTTAGCTCCAGACACACAACAGGTTGGCTGGCCTGGCTATTGGGGCCTAAATGTCATTTAGCCATGTTTGTAGGAATATATTTGCTCCTGTTTTTCTATACCATTCCCAAAGCATCATGGATTCTCAACCAGCACATCCCATCTGGGTTGTACCAATGAATTCCCATGAAAACTGAGAGAAATAACAGTTGGTTGCCTGCAGTCCTACTCTGCTGTACCAAGTTCATCCCCACAGGATCTGAGTTGTTTCTTTCTTCCAGGAGAGACCCAGCCCTTAAAATCCACAACCACTTAGAGGGGTAAATCCAGCAGCAGATGAGAGGAATGCCTTTTAGGATGGCTGGAATTAGTATCAGTATATTTTCATGTTGTTCTTATACCGTGCTTATGATCACATATCTGAGTATCTTTCCAGAGAAATAGGAAGCCATATGATGTTTATATCCTACCTCATGGACTGTCACTCCTACTTGAGGAGCTAATTCTGAACACACTGAAGAGGAATGAGCCCAAAGGAATACTGGGATCAGCAAACCTGCAATTTTTGCCACAGCTTTCTTCACATGAAAGTCCTCTCACACAGCCATTAAACCCAGGCAAGTCACAGTGCTTTGGTGCAGAAATCACTGTGTGTTTGTACAGCAGTGACCAGGTTTCCACCATGGCCTCGATGTGAGGTGCTCACAGCCTTCCTGCAGTCAGAGGCTGACAGATGAACACAGAACACAAACTGCTGCTCCCCGGAGCTGTGTGCAATGCCAGGGATCAGTCAGGAGAGGGAGGCTGCCAGGGCAGCCTTAGGAAATCAGCACAGCCAGGAGCTGCTCCCACCACAAATCACATCATTTAGCAAGCAGGCATTTCTGGGAATGTGTCAAGGAGACTCCTGATGTGGATGCAGGGGAAAGACACTGCAGTAGGAAGCTCTCTCTATGTGTGGGATGTGAAAGCAGCTCTAACCAGTGATTTAAGGAGCTGTGGCATTGGAAGAACTCCCCTATGCAGGGAGACAGGCACTTGCATGGAGTAGGGATGAAGGCTCTTTTGGAAACAAGGGGGAGAAATAACAATTCCTCCAGGAAGAGGACTGGCCTGGGAATGAAGAGGAGGCTTGAGAGAGACAGAGCAATGATAAAATCAACTTTTGTGTGAAGGAAAGCTTATTTTTGTTCACAGCAGGGGTGTCACCATATGTGCACCTCATGATCGAGTTAGTCACCACTTCTTGGTGGAAATTCTCAGGAGAAACAGATTTTCCAAATGAAAGAAGGCAACAGTTTTTGGGCTTATCAGTGGACAATGAACAGCAACAGAGCTGTGGAACCTTCACGGGAACAGAGTTCAAAGTTCACAGGTTTTGAACATCAGTGATATGCAAATGCAAAATTAATGCTGAACTTTAAATCACTCAAAATCTGGTTTAACTTTACCTTCTGTCTCACAGTATCACTGACAATATTAAACACTCCTGGAGTGCAAGTTTGAAGGGACAGGGTCACAGCCTTCTGAGCAGAGGAGCTCAGTGGAAACCATCAAACCAAATGGAAGGACCTCTTCTTCCACAGAGCTCGTGATTAAACCTCATCAGGACAGGAGGTTGTTTATGCCAGAAGTTTACACGGCTGCAAAAGGTGATTAGATAAATTCATAATAACCCATTAGGGCTATTAAAAAGTTACTTCCTTGTGGCTAAAGACTTGCCTGAACCACCTGCCACATCCAGATCTGTTTGCTCTGTTCTTTGGCAACTGCTGCAGATCATTAGAGACAAGATACTGGCCTGGGTGGGTCTGTGGCTTGATCCCATCCAGCCGTTCTGATTTCTCTCAAGCAGGAATCCCACAACTGCACTCCTCACTCACCAGTCTCTGGAAGCAGCCCCTCACTTCAAGGAACTTTGGTCTCTCAGCAGCATAATTTCTAAAAAACAAGATTGTTTATCCTCAGAAGTAACAATCAGAAACACCAGAATGAGAAAACATCTGCACATACCCACGTCCCACTTCAGCATTACCATAAACCTGGAATGACCCCAACACCAGCAGCTCCCACGCACCCTTGTCCTGCAGTGTCCCTCCCTGGAACTCAGGGCCTCATCATTTTACCTACAGAACCAGAATTAGTTCTGTGATTTCTGTTTGGGCTCCTGCAAGCCCAGGTACAGGCTCAGCTCAGATTAGGTGCTGTTTCAGACACAGGCTTCTATCCTGATGGTTAAGCACCAAGAGCAGACTGACAGCTGCTGCCTGAGGGATCAGCTCAATACTCACTCAGAGAACACTGGTTCAGCAAAAGGGGAAGGTAATACTCAAAAGTTAAAAGAAAGTCCCTCCCCACTCCTCTCAAAACAGTTGTATTTACAGTAAAATCTGTTTCCAAGATAAAAGTAGTAAAAATAGTTACAAAGCCAAACCAAACAATTACAATAAAAAGTAAAAAAACCCTCGGTGAAACAGAAAGCAAGTTCCAAGTCAGCTTTACCTTCATTATCATGTTTTTCTATGGGTAATACCCAGAGTCTTTGGCCACATAACAGCGGCCCCTGATGTTTTCTAGTACCCTGTTACAGCATAAACTGATGCAGCAAACTTACAGCTGGGAAGTGTAGAAGCCCCTAAATGAGGTGAAACCCCCTTGCTCATTGCTCACAGCGGTTTGAGGAGAGCTTTCAAAGAAATCAAATACCAGCTAAGACAGATGTCTTCAGTGAAAACACAATGTGGGAACCACCTTGGCCGAGCTACTCCCTTCTCTGCCCTCCCAGTTGCTTTCCAACATTCCCCACTCCACCGAGCTGCAGCCTCTCCACCAAACCAGCAACCATTACAAACACACTTCAGCATTTTGCTCAGGCAGGACCACGGAATGTGCAACTTTTTCTCCCAGAATATGCCCAGTGCTCAGTATTTCATACAGAGGTTTGCCTTGGGAGGAATGCTTCATGTGAGCCAAGGTTCTGGCACAGACCTGCTGTGGCACTTGCCAGCTCACCTTCTGGCACGCACTAATTAGCGGTGCCACAGCGTTAGAAGTCACAGGGCTGAGATGGTCGGCAGGTCCAGCAGCTCTCCGTGGAGATTCCTGGCTCAGACTCCTGTGCTCCTTCTCACAGAGAGCTTAAAAGTACTGGCATTTTTTTTAAAATGCAAAAATATTTAAGATAGAATTGTCATTTCCTGTGGATGTGCACGTAGCTAAGAACAGAAGTACTCACTGGCTGGGCTAGAATTAGCAAAAATAAATGTTGCACAAATAATTGGAAATGTCTCCTATCTCATAGATATTCAGGTGGCTGAATCTCCCAGGGAAACCTCTGGAAAATTTAACTACCCACAGGGTCCTACCCCTGCTGTGCAGGAGAGATCCTGCTGGTGTTCTGGAGACAGGTATTGGAGCCTTAACTGAGCAGAGCGTTCCCACTCTCACGCTGCCTCTGGGAATGCTTGGGGTGGCAAACATTGCTCACTCCACACGTTACAGAGCAGCTTCCCAAACACGAAAAGGCAGCACTGGCTGAGGCACAGGCTGTGGGAAGCACAAAGGCTCAGGATTGCTAAGGAAGTGAGAAAATAGATGGCACTGATGTGCAGGCCTTTGCTTTTTGGCCCTGGCTGAAAAAAACCCCAACTATATCTGCATTAAATCCAGCAGCACCTGTACCAGGAAACATCCTCCATGCCCTGCAGTGGCTCCCCTGCTCCATTTTAGGGAGGGTTTTCCAGGGCTCCCTGAGTGCACGCATTTGTGAACGCTGTGCTGAGCACACCTGATGAGAATTGATGCTGAATGTACTTTCCTGGAGAGCATAACACAGGCAAGGCATTCTACATTCCCTGCCTTTAATCAGAAAGAAGACTGTATTCCTTTTGTGCATTGCTCTGAAGAGATGGCATCACATCCTGGAGGAAAAGCTGTCTTTACTGATTAGTACAGCCTTGTATGAAATCTTGAGCAAGTCCTGCCCAGATTTATCCTGGCTGCCTCTGATACTTAAATGATGCTGCAGTTTTTGGAATTGGTCACATCAAACACCATTACAGAGAACAGAAATGTGTTGTCAGTGGTGCTGAGCTGGGGCGGGCCAAGCCAACCCTTTTCACTGATTCCAGCGTGAACACAGCTCAGAGTTTGCTATTCAATCAATGCCTGTAATTAGTGGATAAATCTGGACCCTAATGGCTCTGCATTACTCAGCTATCTCAAAGGAAACTGCATAAACCTCCTGCATTCCGGTTTCAGATGTGAGGGATGTGCTGTGTGTGTCTCCCTGGGCACCTCTGAGGCTGACACGGGTCTGTCCCAGGATCCTCTCAGGTTCCTGATGCTCTGGGGCTCCTCCCAGGGTCTCCAGGGCTGCTCCAAGAGTTCCTGGACTCCTTCCAGCACCTCTGTGGGAATATGATGTTTATATGCCAGAAATATCAATCACCATAACCTTCATATTAAGCCAACTACCAGAGGCTATTCAACCTCCACAGGGCTGTTCTTCTCCAGCCACCTCCTCGCCTGATGCAGGCACAGGATTGGATTATTGTTATCCAGGCACAGATCCCGGGATATGTGTACAAGCCACAACATCTCTGTGTGTCACATGAACGCCCGAGTGACACAGAGCTGGCCTGGCGTGCTCTGTGTGTCGGCAGGATTGAGGTCACTGCTGCCTTTGCCTCAGCCCAACCAGGCAGGAGGGTGAGACTCCCTGGCTTTAGGAGCCTCTTTCAAGTTTTTGCTACAGTGTGAAACAAGGAGATGCTGGGACTTGCAGACCCAACTGTCATCCCAATGAATACACATAACCATAGAAAGGCTCTGCTGAAACAATAATCAAAGTGTGCTTAATAGAAACTGTGACCAATGGACGCACTGTCTGGACAGGAATGTGCTCACAAAGCTGGGCGGTGGAATAAGGGTCAGAGGAAAGGCAAGGGTGGTTTCTCCAGCCTGGGGTGTTCAGCTGCCTCATGACAGGGCTGCAGCACCCACACGCAGCTCAGGACAGAGGGGCCACTAAGGGGAAGCCTCGGTGAGCGGCACCCTCCTGACACGGACCCCCTCACAGGGGCACTCCCCTCACAGCACAGGGGAGCTGGCACTGAACAGTTCAGCCCGGCCCAAGAGCCCTCATGGCCCCGCAACCCCTCACAGCCCCCCCGAGCCCTCACAGCCCCATGGACCTTCGTGGCTCCCTCAAAATGCTGGACCCCCTGAGTCCTCACAGCACCAGACCACTCATGGCCCCCCAGGCCCTCACAATCCCCTCACAGACCTCCAAGCCCTCACAGCCCCCAAGTCCTTACAGCCTCCCAACTCGTCAGAGCCCCATGATCCTTCATGGCCCCCTCACAATGGCTGGACCCTCTGAGCCCTCACAGTCCCAGAACCTTCAAGGGCCCCCGAGCCCTCGCACTCCCCTCACAGACCCCCAAGTCCTTACAGCCCCGAGCCCTCACAGCAGCCAGACCCCTCAAACCCTCACACCCCTCCCCCCAAAGCCCTCACAGCCCCAGAACCCTCAAGGCCCCCTGAGCCCTCACAGCCCCCAGATCCCCCAAACCCTCACTGTCCCATCACAGACCCCTAAGCTCTCACAGTCCCCTTACAGACCCCTGAATCTTTACAGCCCTCTAAGCCCCCATATCGGCCGAGCCCTCACACTCCCCTCACAGCGCCCTGAACTCTCCCAGCCCCTCAAAGACTCCCGTGCCCTCACACTTCCCCCCTCCCTCCCTCCCCCGCCACGTCCCGCCCCAGCCCCTTTTCTCACCTCCCCCCTCCCCGGGCGCGAGCGCGCGCGCGAAGTCGCCATGACAACGCCCGCGCGCGCGCGGCCCCGCCGCCCCTCGGGCGGGGCCGCGCGCCAGAAAGTGCTGGAACGCCGCCGCAGCCCGCGCGTGCGCACACGGGGCAGCGCTGTCGCCCCCGCCTCACACACACAACGCCGCTGCGGCGCCCCCGGGGTCGGCGGGAAGCGGGACGGGGACGGAGAGGAGAACCACTGTGGGCCCGCGGGGAACCCGCCCCTGTCCCGCAGTGAGGAGGAGCCGCCGCCTCCGCTGCGCAAAGCGCGCACACGGCGCCCGCGAAGGAGCGGCTGCGGCGGCCACCGCCCAGCGCCCGCTGCGGAGTCACTGCGACGGTTACCAGGGCACGGCCCCCGCGGCCAATCAAGCGGCGTGAGCTCATCCCCCGAGGCCGCCGGCCAATCGCCTGCGACATCAATCATTCAATTCGGCCAATGGGGAGCGCGCTCAGCGGGCGGGGCGGGCACTCGCGGGCCGCGGTTCCCCCACAGCACAGCCAACAGACAGCGGGGCGGGGCCAACGGGAGCCAACGGCTTGAGTGACAGCCACGCGGCCAACTGGATCGTCTCGCTTGTGGAGCCTCGTTATAAGCAGCCAATCGTTGCTGCGCGTGGACTCCTGGGCGGGGAAAAGGCGGCTGCGCGCGCATTCCGCTGCTATATAAGGGCTGGCGGTTGCCTCACGCAGCCAGAGTCGGTTGGGGGAAGGTTGGGGTCCGTGAGAGCGCTTGTAGCAGCCGCCATCATGAGGGAGATCGTGCACCTGCAGGCCGGGCAGTGCGGCAACCAGATCGGTGCCAAGGTCCGGGCGGGGAGAAGGGGCTTCGGGGGGGAGGGAAGGAGGGGGGCGAGAGGGGCGCGGCTGGCCCGGCGCGGCCGCCCCTGACGCGCTTCTCTCCGGCAGTTCTGGGAGGTGATCAGCGACGAGCACGGCATCGACCCCACCGGCACCTACCACGGGGACAGCGACCTGCAGCTGGAGCGCATCAATGTCTACTACAACGAGGCCACAGGTAGGGCCGGGCCCCTCCCGAGCCGCCCCCCCTCCCGGGCTCCCCGCGCCCCCCCGGCGCCGCAGTGACGGCTCTCGCTGTGTTCGCAGGCGGCAAGTACGTGCCCCGCGCCGTGCTGGTGGACCTGGAGCCCGGCACCATGGACTCGGTGCGCTCCGGGCCCTTCGGGCAGATATTCAGGCCAGACAACTTCGTGTTCGGTGAGTGCGCGGGGGCGGGAGGAGCCGCGGGGTGGGGCAGGGCCGGGCACTGCGGGGCTGCCCCGCCGCACATGCTCCGAGGGACCGGCCCCGCCGGGGCTAATCCTGGCGTGGAGCACCGGGATTGCGGCTGGGAGCAGCTCCCAGGCGGCACCAGAGGTCGTTGCTCTTTCTCATTCTTGCTGCCGCCTCCCTTGCCACACCGAGAGAAATGGAGTGGCTGCTGTATCATTGATAATTAATGTTTTGCCTGTGTCTGCCGAGCCACTGCGGAGGTGCCTGTGTGAAACCACAGCCCTTGCGCTCGATAAGATGAAAGCTTTTTCGTGGAGCCTGATGCTCTTAAGCTTTGCTTGCAAGCAATAAGCAGGAAGCAGTGACCGTAATCTAATACGAAAATGGCTCTTTTCCAGGTCAGAGCGGAGCAGGAAACAACTGGGCAAAGGGCCATTATACGGAAGGTGCTGAATTAGTCGATTCTGTGTTAGATGTTGTAAGGAAGGAGGCAGAAAGCTGTGATTGTCTGCAGGGCTTTCAGCTTACTCACTCCCTGGGTGGTGGCACAGGCTCTGGCATGGGTACCCTTCTCATCAGCAAAATCCGTGAGGAGTACCCAGACCGAATTATGAATACTTTCAGTGTGGTGCCCTCCCCTAAAGTGTCAGATACCGTAGTAGAGCCCTACAACGCCACGCTCTCGGTGCACCAGCTGGTGGAGAACACAGACGAGACGTACTGTATCGATAACGAGGCGCTGTACGACATCTGCTTCAGAACGCTGAAGTTAACGACCCCCACCTACGGGGACCTGAACCACCTCGTGTCGGCCACCATGAGCGGTGTCACCACCTGCCTGCGGTTCCCGGGCCAGCTCAACGCTGACCTGCGGAAGCTGGCGGTGAACATGGTCCCCTTCCCTCGCCTGCACTTTTTCATGCCCGGTTTTGCCCCGCTCACGAGCCGTGGGAGCCAGCAGTACCGGGCTCTCACCGTGCCAGAGCTCACCCAGCAGATGTTCGATGCCAAGAACATGATGGCAGCGTGTGACCCGCGTCACGGCCGCTATCTGACGGTGGCCGCCGTCTTTAGGGGCCGCATGTCCATGAAAGAGGTGGACGAGCAGATGCTCAACGTTCAGAACAAAAATAGCAGCTATTTTGTTGAGTGGATCCCCAATAACGTTAAGACAGCGGTCTGTGACATTCCACCTCGCGGCCTCAAAATGTCTGCCACCTTCATTGGCAACAGCACGGCCATCCAGGAGCTGTTCAAACGCATTTCTGAGCAGTTCACTGCGATGTTCCGCAGAAAGGCCTTCCTGCACTGGTACACGGGCGAGGGCATGGACGAGATGGAGTTCACAGAGGCTGAGAGCAACATGAACGACCTGGTGTCCGAGTACCAGCAGTACCAGGATGCCACGGCCGAGGAGGAGGGGGAGTTTGAGGAGGAGGCTGAGGAGGAGGCTGAGTAAGGCTATGCAGTTTGAACACCTGTAAATTTTGTTTAAAGTTGTATGAACTCTCTCTCATTCAAAGGTTCTGTTCGTGTTGTGTTATTATTGCTGTTTCCAAGTCACTTCCAATGCTGTACAGGCACCATTAAAGCAGTTTTCACAGTGCAAAGCCCCGTCTCCTCTGTTCTTTCCGGTAAGCTTCCCGCGTGCCGTTCCCGTAGGTGAGCGAGTACAAGTCACGGAGGTCTGGAAAAGGAACACGGTGGACTTGGCATGAGCACCCCATGGCAACGCCCCTGCTCTGCTGCCCTCAGCCAGGTGATGCTTATTGTGTCACTGGCATGGTGACAGCCCTGCTGTGGGAACTGGAGAAATTCCCTGGTATTCCCTTGTGATCAGGTACTGCTGGAGGGAACACACACTGACACAGGGTGGAATTGGCTCCAAGCTGTATCTAAATTTAGGTCCCTGCCCATGGCCTGTGCAGCCTGGCAGGGCAGGGGCTGAGCAGCTGCTGGGCTGGGCACGAAGGGGCCGCTGCAGGTTTGAGCTGCCTGGGCATGAAATGGTGCCAGCGAGTGCCACAGCACTGAGGGTGTCCCTGGCACCGGCTGAGCTGATCCACGGCAGCTCCTCAGTTCTACAAACCCAGCAGGGAGCTGTGGCCTGGCCCAGGAGTGCTGGGGACAGCTGTGACAGGCTGGGTGGCACCTACTGCTGGGGACAGGTGACACCAAAGCTGTCCCGTGCGCACAGTGCACGCAGCACTGCTGCAGTTGCCCTTAAATCACTGTAGGGGTTTTGAAATTAAATCAGGTGTTGGTGCAGCCTCTGCTTTTGGGGTGAGCTGAACACCTGACAGTGACATTGGTTTGTCTCATGGAAACCCTGTATTAACACAGCACATTTGCACTGTGGAAAAAATGTGTTCAGTGTCACCTTAAGTGACAAAGCTGGACAGGAGAGAACAGGCTGCTTCCCTGCTGGAGAAATTCTGGTCAGGGTTCTACATCATAACTGCTTTGGTTTAAAGGTTTTCTGCTTTAATTAATTTTCTCCACCCAGAGCCAGACTGGTTGGAGCAGTTAAAACTGTGCTGACTCCGGTGGCTCCTGGGGCAGGGAAGTGGGAATGTCAGACCTGCACAGAACAGGCTGCAGGGGGAAAGATGGCAACAGATCCCTAAAGCCTGAATTAACACCGAGGAGTTGATTTTTGCCCTTGATTTTAGGGTGGGTTTTTCTTGCTCCCTGACTGGCAGGATGTCCAGCTGGGCTTTTCCTGCCTGGCTTTCCCAGGTCCTGTTGCAAGTCTCACTAAAGCCACACTCACTGCCTCAGCCTCTCCATCAGCCACAGCCCAGCCCTGCCAGGATGATTTTCCCACTCTGCTTTCAATTCTTCCACATTTTATCTATTTTATTATTTTCCCTCTGCACTGCAGTAAGGACAAGCCATGAGTTTGGTTCTCCCTGATTTCCCACCCACGTTACTGAGCTGTGACCAAACACAGCAATGTATTAGTTGCTCATTTGTTGAGATTTTAGCCTGGTACTTTGCCCTTACACACAAAATTCCTCCAGACCTCTCCTTTTAGGCAGCACCAAGACCTGACAAGGCTCAGGCAGGCATGTCCTGATGGCCAATCCCATTTCCCACACTTTTTGTGCCATCTCAACCCCTTTGTATCATCTACCTTTTGCTTTTTATCAGACTTTAAGCTTTTTAGAACAGAATCCCTTCCCTGACATGTGACCGGTGGGGTGTCACTGAGTCTCTCCTGCCTCAGTAAGGGGGTGGTGGCTGGAACTGTGCCCTGGTGAGCCTGGCAGTGGGAATTCTGGGCTCTCCCACAGCAGGCACAGATCCAGAAAAAAACAAACTCTACTACCTGTGTGGAACATTTCAGCAACTGTTCACTTCCATGCCACTCCAGCTAATAACAGCAGTGCTTAGCACAGTAATTAGTATTGATGACTTTCACTTTTCACTCAGCTGATGAACTTACGTGGCACAAAGCCCGTGTAGGCAGGTTTCAGTCCACCACTGTTGTAGATTTTGGTGTCTGGCCAGTGTGTCAGGGGAAATTTCATGCCCAAGGTGAAAGGTGGATTTTTCTTCAAAAGCTGGAAAACAAAAGGAAAAAAAAACCCACAACAACATGAAACGGTTTATTTTAAAAAGTCCTATTTTTACCAAAGTCATGTGCTTTGACTCTACATTACATAAAATATTTAAGCCAACATAAAGCAATTCTCTTTCCAACCCTGCTTTTTTATAATTAAAAGCCACATTGAAATCTCTCCTTTTCCACTCCATACGTTTTTCTCCTGGCAGGTGTTGGCAGCAGCCTCTGGCACTGCCCAGAGCGAGTCCTGGCCCAGCAGGTCCAAGTCCTAAGGATCTCTGCTGACCTTGGGCATCATCCCCAAGTCCTAAATGCCTCGTGCTTTGCTGTGAGCCAGCAGTTCCTGCTGGAGCTGGGCACACCTGTGCTGGGTTTGACCCCTTCAGCTGGTTCTGTGTTTCCACGAGTCCCACAAACAGCAATTAGCCTGTAATTCCCAGGCCGGGAGGAGCAGGAAGGCTTAGGGAGCATAAGAAGGGAGAGTGTAAATCATCTCCTGGGAGACTCCCTGCCCTCCGAGGGGCTGGGCAGGGGGGTGGGTGTCACAGCCACCTAAAGGTGTCCCTGGAGCTGTGGCACCCCCTCGGAGGGGGGGGTCACACCGCGGGGCCACCGAGCCCTTTGTGGCTGCGGCTCCTCGCAGGGCGCTGGGGAGGGAGGGGGGTGTTATTGCTGGATGCAGGCAGGGAGCAGTGATCCACGGCACAGCCCCGCACGTAACCTAGGGCAACAGAGATTTAGGGCAGAAGATTAGTGGCTTGAAGTCAGAAGCCATCTTAGATGGAATTGCGGTGTGATTCTCTCTCCTTCGCGTGCCTGTTCCCTCGGTGCTGCTGAGCCAGCCTGGATTGCGCCGGATCCTGACACCTCCCTCGCTGATTTACTGCACGGCAGTAGAGGGGCAGAAAGGCTCTGCAAGCAGCACATTTAGTTTGGATGATGCCTGGGGTTTGTTCTGTTCGCTCCATTTCAATTCCTGTTCGCGGCAGCAGGGAAGGAGAAGGAAGCCAGAGCGGGGAAACACATCTCAGCCAAAGCACGACGCGCTCAGCCCCCTGACTCATTTCTTCCCAGCTGATTTCTCTGAGCTGGGGATGCTCAATCTTGGATGTTTTTCCTACATCAGAGGCATGACAGCGGCTCCCGGGGAGCAGGAAGGGCTGGAATGTCGTAGCCTGCTTTCAGTGAGCTCGTATGCGCTCGCCGGGGCTGGACCAGCGAGGCTGCTGCATCCCAGGGGACTTCCCTGCATCCCAGGGATCTCCCTGCATCCCAGGGGACTTCCCTGCATCCC